TAATACCGCTAAAGATTTATATAACGACCTTATGAAATTAAAGAGACGGGAGGTTGATCTTGATCTACATGGCATTTTCATTTCCGATTACTATCGATCCAAGAGGATACCGAGAGGTTTCAGGATAAGAAATGCACCAACAATAGGGAGACAGAATCCAGATTTCTGTAAAAAATGGATGAATATTGCCAACAAATGTTCCCTAGATTGGATGGTTATAGTGGTCGAGGAGGTAGGTAAAGAATTGATTATGGTAAAGAATTCCATTCAGGAGTTTGAAATTGCCAATGTATTACCTCTGCAATCTTCAGCAGTAACTTCTCAAATGTTAAAGCTACAAGACGACATTAATAAATACAAAAATGAACTTATCAGGTTCAAAAAGCAAAAATTAGCTAAAGTCAATCATGACTATCAATACCATCAGGTTTACAGATGGCTTAGTGGCACATCAACGTCCAATAGGGAACAAGTACCAAGATATAGACATCGGATCAGAAAACCTATTTTTCAAACTGTGGACATCAGCTCTGGGGAGTCAGCGTCTGATGCTGATAATAGAGAGGATAAATTACAGAGGGGATCCGAACATTTTTTAGAAATGGATACGGCATCCCAAGAGTCTCCGGGGATATCCCGAATGGACACCAGAGGTATAAGAAGAATAGAGTCCCACGTAGAGGACAGAAGGGAACACAGAAACATAAGTTCCAAGGGCAAGCCACCCGTACGAAAGAGGTAACCAATGTCTTTAATCTTTCCTACAAAATTTTGACACCAGATCATTATTCAGTACTCTCCAAAGGATTAACATTTGTTCCAGTGTCTAAACCAGATCCTTTTAAGATGGAAGTGGAGATGTATCAACTACAACGGACGCTTATTAATAATGAACATCGGAAAGAAGTTCAATCACACATTTTGAAGAATCCATTTAAAGTAAAATATACTTCGGAGATGAAAACATCAAGTAACTCTATTAAAACTTTCATGCAAGTTTTAAAGAAAGATAATGAACGTATCATTAGGAAACCACCGGATCACAGACAGAATCTTACCAAAGGAGAATGGGCAGCACTCAAAGATCTAAAACAAGATGCCGAGATTATTATTCGGGCTGCAGATAAAGGCGGAGCCATTGTCATCATGACATATTGTCAATATCGAACAGAAATTATGCGACAATTGACAGATATTACCACTTACCGACGATTAACTTTTGATCCCACTATTAAATTTCAAAAGAGGATTAAGGAACATATTATGATAGGTTTACAAATGGGTTATGTAGACACATCAACATCGAAATATTTATTTGTGGAACATCCGATACATCCAGTATTATACACCATCCCGAAAATTCACAAAGATACCAAGAACCCCCCAGGCAGGCCCATCGTGTCTGCCAGAGGAAGTTTGCTTGAACCTATAGCAAAATATGTGGATTTTCATATTAAGGATAGTGTCCTGGAACTACCCACATGTATTCGGGATACCAAAGATCTATTGAACAAATTACACAAAATTTCGTTCCACGAACAGGACAATATAATACTTGCTACCTTAGATGTACAAAGCTTATACACCATCATACCCCATATGGGAGGTATAGAAGCTCTTAAAGAAATACTCATGATATCTGACAAATATAGAGGACCACCGATTGAGTACCTTCTGGAGTTTTTAGACATTGCACTCACTTGTAATTACTTTAAGTTTGAAGAGTTATTCTATTTACAACTTACGGGGACAGCGATGGGAGCGGCTATGGCACCCTCATATGCCAATGCCTATATGTTCCAATTTGAACAACGGCACATTTTAAAACCAACTCAGACCAAGATTCTGGCCTATTATCGCTTTGTTGATGACGTATTCATTATATGGAAAGGGCCATCTAAAGAACTGGAAGACATGGTACTCCATCTTAATAATCTGAAGTCACCAGTTAAATTTACACTGGTATACAGTGAGAAAGAAATACCCTTTTTGGACGTCACCATATATAAAGATGGAAATAAACTTGGTCACACACTCCATCGCAAAAGCACAGATAGAAATACTCTTCTCTCAAGCAATAGTTATCACCCACAACATTTTAAAGATGCTTTGCCTATATCCCAGTACATGCGGGTTTTACGATATAATAGTGATAAGAAAAAACGAGAAATACAACTACAAGAAATGACCCTTAGGTTTCAAGAAAGAGGGTACCAGATTCAAACATTGGAGAAAGCAAAATCCCGTGCCATTGAGAAATGGACACAGGAGAAAAACAACATACAAGTTAAACCTAACTCAGATCCACCTAAAATTTACCTACCTCTCACTTACCATACAGGTACTACACAAATTCGTAAATCCATTGAAAAACACTGGGATATACTCAATTCGGACAAACTTCTACCTCCTATTTTCAACAGGAAACCTATTATCAGCTACAGAAGAAATAGAAATCTAAGAGATATTCTAATCCGCAACGATCCCATACAAAGTTACCAGAGAAAAATAATACACAAGAAGCCTGGATGCTACAGATGTAGCGGTTGTGTTACGTGCAGTCATATGGTCTCTGGGAACACGTTCGCTCACCCTCATAGTGGGAAAAGAATGAAAATTTCACATCATATCACATGCACTACAGATCATGTGATTTATCTTATTACCTGTCCTTGCGGGTTATCCTATGTAGGGAAGACGGATCTCACTCTTCGTGATCGCATCCGAGGCCATAGATCTGGAATCATGACAGCCTTTAGAGATTTAAAAACGGACAAACCAGTAGCCAAACATTATCTGGCGGCTTCACACAGACTTCCCACACTGAAATTCATGGCTATAGATCATGTCCCCCCTTTACCTCGAGGGGGTGACAGATCTAGAACATTGCTCCAAAGGGAAGCATATTGGATTTTTGCTCTGGATACAGTTACTCCCAGAGGTTTGAATGAATATAATACGTATTCGATGTTCCTATGAATTGGACATGATCACTTGGATTTAGATATGATTTATTTTGATCTGCAGGTTATTTAATCATACAATGTAATATGGTTTGGTTATTGAATCTGATATATTGGTAATTATTGCATGTTATACTTGTGCACGTTAATAGTAGATACTATATCTCCGATGTTGCCAATGTATTTATTTGGAGGTTAGATGTATCAAATGTTTAGTCTGGGTATAATGTAGATTTCCAAAACAAACTTTTAGTCCCTTATTATAATAGGTTGCTCTATTGTTAAGGAATATGGATAATATTGCCATATAAGTTATTCACTAATGTTTAAGGCTAGATTCTGCTATAAATTTAGTAGTAATAACAACACTAAGTTTATGGTAATTTTTTGCATAATGTGTTTTTTAGTAACATAAATAGACATTCAGCTTGCTCTATAATAGTGGTTGTGTATAGATTTTCACATAATTATTTCATTGTGCTATGAGATTGAATATATTTTTTCTGACAGTTTATATTTCCAGAGTTATTTGGCATTAGGTTTATTTTTGACTAACATAAATTTGCACATTAGTAGCACTTGCTGTATCATCTGTATACAGTTTAGCTGGTGTATGCTGTCAGTCTATAGTCTCAGATGGCCACATTGTATATATTCCTCTTCATGGTATTGTTTATAAACTTTTGGGTGTCCCTTTGGTTTAGGACTTATTTTAAATTCACTGGGCACTTGACACACAATTTGATGTTCTCTCTTCGAGCTGTCTTTGAGCTCGTAGTAAAATAAATAATCACGAAGGATTTGTTTACGTTGCTTAGCAACGACACTTGTGACACGCGTCATCACGCTCAGTCACGTGGTCGCACCTACTCACTTCCGGGTTTCGGGCGGCCGGGCGGGAATTCATCTCCACACACCTGTTGGGTAAGTGATTATTTCATTTATCTACCTATATATACATGTTCATTTCACTGTTATATTGATCTTGAAAAAGACCCTTTAGGGGTCGAAACGTTGATTGAAGATTACGAATGTAATGCACAACTTAGAATAAAATCACTGATGGAAGAAGTCCTGTGAGTGCACCTTTTTTCTATGAAAAATATACATATTCACGCTGAGGTTTGCACCCAGGCAAAGATATCAAAGATAAAAAGAAAAAAGTTTTTAATGGGTGAGTGCCAAGAGTATTTTTGTATATTTTTGTATATATATATATATATATATATATTAAAAAAAATGTATTAAAAAAATAACCAAAAAAAATAGATACGTGTAATTTCATTCTAACTGGACAGAGGTGGCAAGTGGTGTCCTTCAGGGGTCTGTTCTGGGACCCCTTCTATTTAACATGTTTATAAATGATCTTGAAGACCACATTGAAAGTCATGTTTCAGTGTTTGCAGATGACACCAAACTTTGTAAAACAATACAATGTGAGCAAGATATTACTTTGCTGCAGAGGGATTTAGATAGACTGGGGGACTGGGCACTCAAATGGCAGATGAAATTTAATGTTGAAAAATGCAAAGTTATGCACTTCGGCGTAAAGAATACACAAGCAACGTATACCCTTAATGGAAGCGAATTAGGGATAACAACACATGAAAAGGACTTGGGAATTGTTATAGACAACAAACTATGCAACAATGTGCAATGTCAATCAGCAGTGGCCAAGGCCAGTAAGGTATTGTCATGCATGAAAAAGGGCATTCATTCTCAGGACAAGAATATAATTTTGCCTCTTTATAAATCACTGGTAAGACCCCATATTGAATATGCTGTGCAATTTTGGGCACCTGTTCTAAAGAAGGATACTATGGCACTAGAAAAAGTGCAGAGGCGGGCTACAAAATTAATAAAAGGAATGGAACATATCGGCTATGAAGAAAGGTTAACAAATTTAAACCTATTTAGTTTAGAAAAACGTCGCCTGAGAGAGGATATGATAACATTATACAAATATATTCGGGGCCAATACAAACCATTGTGTGGAAATCTATTCACAAACTGGACTTTACATAGGACACGAGGCCATGCGTTTAGACTGGAAGAAAGAAGATTTCGTCTAAGGCAAAGGAAAGGTTTTTTTACTGTAAGAACAATCAGGATGTGGAATTCTCTGCCTGAGGAAGTGGTTTTATCAGAGTCCATACAGATGTTCAAACGGCTACTAGATGCATACTTGCAAGAACAGAATATTCAAGGATATAATCTTTCAATGCAGGGTAATAACTGCTTGATCCAAGGATAAATCTGACTGCCATTCTGGGGTCAAGAAGGAATTTTTTTCCTAGCTTGTTGCAAAATTGTGCTCCAAACTGGTTTTTTTTTGCCTTCTTTTGGATCAACAGCAAAAAACAAATGTGAGGTAGGCTGAACTTGATGGACGCAAGTCTCTTTTCAGCTATGTAACTATGTAACTATGTAACTGTATTTTGATATTAATATATATTGATATCAAAATATAATTAGAATGAAATAATATATATATATACATAAATATATATGTATATTACTATATATAATATATATATATATATACACACACACACACACACACACACGTACATAAAAAACAATTTTAAAAAATTATATATATATATATTATATATACACACACACATATGTATATTCTACATAATTAAGTCATTTTATTCATTATAGTTTGCGGGACCCAGGCAGAAAGTCCAGAGAATTTAATTTGCTAGACTATATTTAACCTTGTAACTTTCCAAGACAGCATAAAACCTGTACATGGGGCTACTATTTGTAACGGATCACCTGGCACCCCGACTGGGTACCTCTGTTAAAGGATGCTCCTAGCGTTTCCTGAGGACTCCAAGCACTCTGGCAGACACCACAATCACCGAACCGGAGAAGCATATGAGTACTTCTAAGCATATGAATGCTATAAACAGCTGAATAGGCAAAAACCATATGGATGGGTTTAGACTCCTAGCAGTCAAACTGGAACAGCATACAATAAATCCTTCCCCTATAATGAGACGACACTTCACTTTGAGGGTTAAGCAGGAACTGACTGTAGGGCACATACAGCCTCTTTTATTCCCAATCCACAAACTTAGTACTGCCCACAGGGTTTTACAGAACAACCAATCAATCTGTACAATACACACAGACACTCCCACACAAAATCCTCCCCTCTGCCTGTGATATGATTACTGAACACAATGGTTAATCTAATTATCACAGGCAGAGAAATACAGTATCATAAAACACATCACAGGGACCCCAAAACATGCAATAACCCCATAAAAAGTGTATCATTGGAACCGGGGGATCTGGGTGAACCACATATCCAAAATTCACCCAGATCCGTTCAGTACTTTGGAAGATACAGTTTAATGCAGATTCCACAGAACATATGCAGGCTAAATGAAAAACAATTACTGTATAATGTGTCTCCTGTTGTATAGTCCAAAATCACTGCACAATGTCTCTGTTCACTAAATACCGGCGAGATGGCACCGTGTTGAAAAATCTAAACAGTGTCTGTGAGTTAAATTGGCCGCCATCCATTGTTCTTACCATGTGCTTCATCCATTGTTCTCACCATGTGCCTCTGATACAGGAAATGGTGGCCACCCAGTAACTCCACAGTATGTCCCCAGATGGTTCTTAAAGGGCCAGCAGCAGCACAACACAAATGCCCAAATCATGTCTTTAAAGAGCAATACATCCCAGGGGCCATAGTCACATGGCAGGAGGCTGGCAATCAGTCTTCTCCAATGCCCAGTGGCGAGGTCGGTTTCGCCACACTGTTCTACTCAGGAGACTTCGCTGAACACAAATATTAATGTTTTGAAAAAATAAAAATGTATTACAACGATATTATCAGTGAAAATTTGGTTTTTTCATTTTTCACACACAAACAGCACTTACACTGACGATATCATTCTTGTGATATGTTTTACGGTTTTGTAACACTAATATTTGTGTTCAGCGAAGTCTCCTGAGTATAACATTACCCCATCATGTACATGTTTTATGGTGTTTTCAAAAGTTAGAGAGTCAAATATAAGGCTTGTGTTTCAGTTTTTTTACATTGAAATTTGTCAGATTGGTTACTTTGCTTTCGAGACTGTATGGTAGCCCAGGAATGAGAATTACCCCCATGATGGCATACCATTTGCAAAAGTAGACAACCCAAGGTATTGCAAATGGGGTATGTCCAGTCTTTTTTAGTAGCCACTTAGTCACAAACACTGGCCAAAATTGGCATTCAAATTAGTTTTTTGCATTTTTCACACACAAACAAATATTAATGCTAACTTTTTCAAGTGTTTGTGACCAAGTGGCTACTAGAAAATAATGGACATACTCCATTTGCAATGCCTTGGGTTGTCTACTCTTGCAAATGGTATGCCATCATGGGGGTAATTCTCATTCCTGGGCTACCATACAGTCTCAGAGGCAAAGTAACCAATCTGGCGAATTTCAATGTTAAAAAAGTGAACCACATAAAAAAAAAAAAAAAAAAACTGTGCATACAATGAATTCTCATTCCTGGGCTCCCTTACGGTCTCAAAGGCAACGTAACAAATCTGGCATATTTTAATGTGAAAAAAACAAAAAAATTTAACATGCTACATTTGACCCTGTAACTTCCCAAAACACCATAAAACCTGTACTTAGGGGGTACTGTTTTACACATGTGACATCATTGAATACAAATATGTGTAATGTATTGCAGTAAAAGCTAACAGTATTATGACATTCACAGATAAAATGTCATGTAGAACTAAAACAAATATTTAATATCTCAATTTATTTTTTATATTTTATTCCTATTAAATTATGTTTCATAGCTAAATAGTTAATGTTAAATGAAAGCCCTATTTCCCCTGAATAAAATGATATATAAACAAGTGTGGGTCTACTTAAAATGAAAGAGGTGAATTACTGTTGAACAGACATATAGTCAAATTCCAGATTTTGTTTACATTTTATTTTGATCAAAACGTGTACGTTTGGCTCAGTCCTTAAAGGGGTTAAACATTACTTTTCAAAACACGCAACATACTCCGGTTCTGGAGGTATTGGTTTTGTAAACTGCTCGGTAATAAAGGGGTCAAGCCCATAGATATGGGAATTAATACTGAGATCAGGGCTGATTATAATGAAGGCTCATTCTTGTCTGGTTTTCCAGCTAACACTTAAGTGTTAACACAGATGCGAAAATACACAGGTAAGTTGACCGAGGCCAAGTCCTCCAGACAAAAGTTGGAGAAACCCAGAAGAGAGAGCAATCTTTATCAATTCTTGTTAAAATATGTACAATATTATATACATCCAGCCACAAAGAGGAAGGGCGAAACAAAATAAGTGAAAATGCTTATGATGTTTTGCACTAGGAGTTGATATTTATTCATAAGCAATTGCAATTCTTAATATGCTTAATACCCTGATAGTTCTCTGGAGGACTTGCTTCCAATTACCCCTTCTTCTGGCTGTCCTGTAAATATTTGCTTAGCTGAAGCACCGATCATAAAGCATTGCACAAGAGTTATGGTATAAGATTATTTAGAACATCAACCATTTCTGCCACTTGTAATCCATCTTATTTTTTTTTGTATGCAATTAAAAAATGTGTTTTATTTTTATTTTTTACTGTTACTGTTTTTATTTAAAGTACATGTCTCTTTTAAAGTTGGTGTACCTAAGATGTGTTGCCTCTATACATGGAATATGTTAGGTTGTATGCCAATGATGTTCTTTGTTTCTATTTGTCTGTAGCAGGGGAAGAGCCTTTGTGCATGGTAAGCAACTATTAAAGGAAGAACTATGATAATATAATAAGACTCTTTATTCAAATGAATAAGTAAAAGTTCTGCAACATAATCTTAAACAATCAATAATGCAAGCCATGGAGGCCAAACAACAAAATTTGTAGGGTATTAGCAACTTCTCAGGGTAACAGAAAGGCTTTAAGAATACCAGCAAGCATATCAGAAGATATATGTTATCAATAGAGCCTTAATGTGAATGAGTTAGTATACAAAGATAAAAGGATTTCTGTGTTTACATAACTATAGATTACTGGTGACTGCTTTTGATTACAAGGACAACAGCAATACCTGAGATCCTCAAGCACGGTGGAAAAATAAGTGCATACCTTGGTGGTGCTGCGCTATATATATATATAAATGTTATTATATTTCTTAAGAATTTGACTTACTTTAATCATAATGAACCAGTTTTGTGGCTCTTTGCTATGTAGGCTTATTTGAATGTGTTAATGCTGGTAAGGTCTAGCCTTCACTATTTTGTTAGGACTGTGTTATTCAATACTCATTGCAAATTTTGAAATTAAGTTAATCTAGTTTTATATCCCGTTGTTTCTTGCAACAATAAACAGACACGTTGGTCAAGAAGTGGAACAAATAAGCAGATATGGCATGTGGTGCACAAATAGCCAGTTACATTCCAATAACTAAGACAATCAGCCTGAAGGCAAACTGTTCTAATTTTTATTAGAAAGACCTAAAATCCATGGATGGAATATAAAATACTTGCAGCAGGATTTTTAATTAAGTGGAACTTAGAACTGCATGGCAAAGATTACAAACAACAAATGTTCGAAATCCTAATAATTTGGAACAATAATAGGAAACTGGTCACCCCCCCAAAAAAATAAAAAAATAAATAAGAAAACTTTAATAGTTACTTTTAATATTAAATAATAGATTATATATAAAGTAATATAGTTTAATATGTTATAATCCACTTACCAATGTTTCTATGATGAATAGAAAATTCTTTTCTTTCACTAGACATAATTTGGACAATATTGGATACCATGTTCTCCACCATGTGAACAATCGTCATGGGCCCTTTGACAATCTAATACAGAAATTAGATCTATTATATTATTTTTATTTAAACTGCTTTAAAATGTATCATAACTATTTCAAAGGAATACATAAGGAAGACAGTAATTTTAATCATGCAAAGACCAAGCAAAATTTAAGAGAAGAAGCTTAACAAGAGCTCCATTCATTCATTCATTTCATATGAATGGAGTTGCCTAAGATTGTGGCACTTGTTATTCATAGGTCTCTGTTGGTTCACCCTTTACATGCACATGACCATTTATATGATACATTGATAATTATAGAGAATATTTGTGAGAAAAAAACATAAGGTGGCAGATGAGGGGTTAGAAACAAGCATCTTGAAAGCTGTTTTTTTTCTGTATGTTTTAAGATCAAAACAGCATTTATTGCTAAAATATTAAATTATTTGTTTTAAACATGTAACTTTATATCTATAAAATAACATTAGTGATCATATATGTGCTGTTAATCCCAGTCATAGTTTGCCCCCATCTCTCCAAACTGCCAATCATGGCCACCTATATGGGAGATCGGAATGGACGTGAATTCAGGTCCTCATCATTTCCAGTCAGTTTTAATACCCGTGAGCCACTGCAGTTTATACCTGTCTCTTTGTTTTGCTATGTAACTTGCATCTCTGCCAGGGTAGGAAGGGGGGAGGGCTGGCCACCTGATAACCCACCTGCAGCTATTTGGCTCACCTCATTAACTTGCTTTAAAGCCCTGCATCTCATCAGCGTCAGGGTCAGTCCGTCGTATCAATTACTGGAAACATTCTCCCAACGCCTAACTCTGTTTTTTTATATCTGTTTTGGACTATTGTTAATGCATACTAGCTGCCAGCCCTAAACTTTGGATTGGTCTTATTCCTCTGATCTGGAATTTTCCCTAGTTTTTACTGTACTTCTGGATCTGCCCTCCTGCACAGTCCCTGTGCACAAGTTCACTCTCCAGGTGATTAATTTTACAAGTCACCATAGATTGTGATATTTTTCAAGGGTGCCTTCTGGACTCCAACCCCAGATTGGTCCAGACAATCCCAAGTAAAATTTTGGTTGGCCTGCCAGTAAAATACCACCTTGGTTCTAAACCAAAATGTGGCCAAGAACTCACAAATCAAATTTGTTAATTTAAAAAAACCATGTACCAAATTAACTTCTGACCACAGGACTGCATTATGCTGATCAATAAGAGATCCAATGACTTCAACAAAGTGGTGGCTTAGTTCTTCAAGAGAATCTGGATCTCCCTGGACCTCAGTATCAGCAACTTCCATTAGAAAACGGATGACACAAAGAAGATCAACTGGCTGCACAGAACTCCCTTCAGTCTCTATCACTTGCTCAATTGCACGCAGATAAGCAGTCGCCTCAGAAATATTATACTGATGTGTCCCACTTGTTAGAAAGTTTTCAGAAATCTGCAAGAAGAAATAATATCATTAATTATCTATATTAAAGGATCAACGTTTTATATTACACTATGGCAAAAGTGCCAAAAAGTGCTTTATTCCAAAAAAAGGTAATTATCGAACTCAAAAAAGCAAAAATGCAGACTATATAGTTATTAGGAGGAAATAAAGATAAATAAAATCATCACAAAATTGGTCTGAAAATATCTACACCATCTTTTAGAAAGAAAATCAAAGGGCATGGGCAGAGAGGAACAGACCTCTATAGTTATTAAGAGGTTATTTGTGCAATGTTGGAATGCAGGAAGGATTTCAAGGTCTGATCCTAACAGATCACTTAAATATGTGGATAACGTTGGTGGTGTTTTTTAAAGTATGTCACATTTTTCCTTATTCATCTACCTCATTCAAATGGAGGGAATGCTTTCTGATTGCTAAAAAGTTACCATTGTTCTTTCTGTTTTTGGAATGCATGTTCCTTTCTGCAATCTGAAGAATATATTTGAAGGCTGCAGATACAAATGCATAGCATTCATACTTTTTTTTTTTTTTACATATGCTAAGTGATTGCATACCACAGCCAATTCACACAAGAACATTACTAATGTTACTGCCTTCTGTTTGTGTTAAAAAAAAATAAAAAATGTTTTTTACAGATTTATATTTTTCATCTTTATGCGTTCATCAGCTGCTTTTAAATCTCACATTTACTTTAAGCTGTGCTAATGAAATTCTGTTTATAAAAGTCTAGCCAAATTGACTAATTAAGTTTAATTAATTGCCGGATTGAATAATTAGATTTCTTCTATCCACTTGTAAATAAGACCAACCCTCAAACTAGTACCTTTAGTAGCAATTGCATAAAAGAATTTAAAAAAAAAAATTATATCCTTCCTAATGTTTAGACATTTAACCCCTTAAGGACGGAGCCAAATGTACACATTGTGATCAAAACAAAACGTAAACAAAACCCCTTAAGGACACATGACATGTGTGACATGTCATGATTCCCTGTTATTCCAGAAGTTTGGTCCTTAAGGGGTTAACTATATGTCTGTTCAACCGTAATTCACCTCTTTCATATTACATGCACCCACACTTATTATATATAATTTTATTCAGGGGAAACAGGGCTTTTACTTAACATCAAATACGTAGTTATGAAACAATTTAATAGGAATAAAATATTTTTAAAAAGTGAGAAAATAAGAAATTTTGTTATGTTTTTAGTTCTACGTGACATTTTAACTGTAAATGTTATAATACTGTTTGCTTTTACTGCAATAAAATACACATATTTTTATTCAGCGCTGTCTCATGTGTAAAACAGTACCCCCTATGTACAGGTTTTATGGTGTTTTGGGAAGTTACAGGGTCCACAAAACATTGCATTGATACATTATGGTACAATAAAATACAAAAAACAAGATTAAAACACAATATATACAAAATTTAACATAGAACAGGTAGGATATATATAATCAACCATGACACATGCATTCTGTTTTGAGGAATGGAGAGAGGGATCTTTTAAGTGACTTTAGGCTTGGTGAAGATTTTAAAGTGTGCGGGAGGTCGTTCCGCAGCGTCAAAATGCTCCTCAACATTCATGTCCATTATTTGTAAATATGAGAACCTACAAATTATTAAGATACAGCAGGAATTAGACACTGAAAAAGAAATGGTTCAAAAGTTCAACACGGACCCTCTGTTTCAGAATCTTGAAGTAAAACTTAAAAACAATTTAGACAAGTTCTCATATCAAATCAAGACAAAAAAACATCAGAAATTTCTAAGAGATTCGACTGACTTTGAGACTGGCAAGATATATCGCCACTTCAAAAAAAGAGTAAGGTTAGACTCTGATCGCTTTAGCACTTCAGAGTATGAATCCACTGATAATGAGGAGCAGGAGACAGCTGCCCCTCCCAGTCAAGCTTCCCAAACTCAACCCCCAAAAATATACTTCGTAAAGGGGTGGATTTTTTAGGCCTGAGACAGGCAGAGGAACTCAAAGGTCCAAACACCAGACAGTCCTAAAGAAGCAGGGGCCAACGAAGATATCGAAATTAGTTCAAGACCATCTGAAAGTGGTTAACATCTCCTCTATTACTCTATCCGAAATAGAATACTCAGTGTTACAGAAAGGCTTGACGTTTGTACCTATCCCCCCATTCAATTAATTTATTTGGACTAAAGATTTACATCTCTTTGCCCGTAAATTGGCTTTGTTTAAATATCACACTATTAGGAAAGAACATAAAGCACGAGACTTAGGACTAACTGTTAAAGATCTGGACTGTCTAGACACTTTAGTTGAACTCCTACAATCCAATGAAGTCGCAAGACCTAATAACGTACCCTTGACGGATTTAAAACCCAAGGGTACATTTACCCCTCATTTTAAGGATTACAAGAATGTGGAAGTGTTTTTAGAAATGGTTTGCAGGGATATTGAAAAAATAAACCCTAATGATCTGGACTTTAAGTCCAGTGGTAATTTAACAAAGGCTGAGGTTAAAACGCTCGAATCCCTACGTACCAATGCGGATATAATCATCAAACCCTCCGATAAGGGGGGTAATATAGTTGTAATGGATTGCTCTCAATACACATCTATGGTTAACAGTCTTTTAAGTGACTCCAAGACGTATCAAGTACTACATAACGACCCCACTAGTGAGTATATTATGGAAGTTAAAAGCCTGTTGTCACAAGCACTGGACAACAAACTCATCACAAAGGATGAATTTAAATTTATGTTCACAAGACATCCTAAGACATCTATGTTCTATAGTCTTCCAAAGATCCATAAGTCTGTCACCAATCCTAGTGGACGCCCGATAGTCTCCGGTACAGACAATCTGACTCAAAATATGAGCACATACCTTGATAAATTAATGAGTCCATTTGTACTAAAGCTTCCCTCTTATGTAAGAGATACAAAACAAATGTTACAACTTATGGAAAATATCACAGTACCTGGAGAGGCGTTGCTATGTAGTCTTGATGTGGAGTCTCTTTACAGCTCCATCCCACATAATCTGGGGATTGAGAACTTACGACTCACTTTACAATTACAGTCTAAATTCTCCATAGAATATATAGATTTTGCCTGCAAAGCCCTCACCCTGGTGCTTACTAAAAATGTTTTCCTTTTAATGGTACAATTTGCCATCAGATCATGGTTACGGCAATGGGCACATCTTGTGCCCCTTCATATGCGAATCTGTATTTAGGCACATGGGAAAATAATCTTCAAAGGGATGAATGCCTGGTTCAGTTTCTGACACAAATACATTGTTGGAAATGTTATATCGACAATGTATTTATAGTGTGGCTGGGCACAATAGACGACTTCACTGAATTTGTACGGTTATTGAACATAAATGACCTGAATTTACGCTTTACCAGTGAGGTCGGTGGTAAACATCTTAACTTCTTAGACATTACTCTGTCCTTACAAGAGGATGGCAGAATCTTTACAACGCTGTATCTAAACAGCCTCCTAAACTGGGACAGCTACCATCCCTATCCCTCTAAAGCAGGCATACCGATTGGGCAATACCTGCGTTTACGCAGAAATTGCTCAACTCTTGAAGACTTCAAGATGAAGGCAGCCAATCTAAGAAAATCTTTCAAAGATAGAGGGTATCCGAACAGAGTCCTCAAAAAGGCTTATTGGAGGGCACTATGTTCGGATAGAGCAAACCTTCTTGAGGACAAAACCCCATTGTCGAGCCATCAGATCCGTTGCATTGGGACATATGATGCAGGTTGGCATAAAATGCTGCTAATTTTAGGCAGATATTGGCCGATCCTGACATCCGATACTCACATTAAATCAGTGATTTCCCCATTTCCCTCCGTCAAGGCACGCAGACGGAAGAACTTTAAAGATCTTTTGGTACCCAGCCACTTTGGCCAAACAAATGAACGTTCTAAATCCTATTTACCTAAGGGCACTTACAGATGTGGTCACTGTAGTGCCTGTCAGTATATAGGTAAAGACACAAAGATGTTCTCTGACAACTTGAATTCTGACTCCCACTATGTACGTTCTTTTTTTAATTGCCGCACAGAGGGTGTCATCTACCTTTTGACATGTTCCTGTGGTATTAAGTATGTCGGAAAGACATTCCGCCCTTTTAAGTTCCGCATTAGGAAACATGTCAATTCGGTTAGAAGTAAATTGGAAACTCCAGTTTCAAGGCACTTAAAGATGTTTCATGCCAATTCATCCAGTAGGATACGCTTCATGGGTATAGATAACCCAAACACAGCGTAAAGGCAATTGGGACCGTAGGCTTAAACAAAGGGAATCCTACTGGATATACAAATTGAAAACGTTGTCTCCACATGGATTAAACGAAGGTTTTTCGTTTTCCTCATTTTTGTAGACTTTTGGGCATTCTCCATCCACAGATTTTATATACTCATCTGAATTACCTTATATAGTTTTTGCTGTCTGTAAATATGGTTATATGTAAATTAATTAAAAAATATATATATTTTTTTTTATTATTTTATTTTATTTTATTTTTTCATGAATTATGTTGTAAGGGTCCTAGGTTCTATACCTAATTATATTACATGGCGGTCTAAATTAATTGTGAATCTCATTGGGATTATCTACTATTAACAATTAACCTTTAATCAAAATATGATGCCTTTATTACTTGCATAATATTAAATTTTTTGTTTGGAATGCAAACTATATTTAAACCTAAACATCAGGTGGTTACCTGTAAGTAATATGATTTCTACGCAAATACTGGAGAATGGGTACTTATAACCAATATGATTCTCTCGTAAGGGTTGGAGGATGGGTGCTGCAAATTTCAATTTTTAATTGTAAAGATAAAGCTGAGTGCATGATGATTTGCACTCACTCTAAGATACATTAGATACATAGGTCAGTAGGCTACATGGTGAAATACATGTCTGTAATATACTTATGACTTTGGGTATACATACTTTTAGTATATACGACGATGGACTGTACTAAG